ATTAATCTCATGAGATGTACAAAGTAAAAATAACACCAAATGAAGATCACTTCTCTTTGATGATGTCACCCTGACACAGAAAGGAAAAAAATTAACCAAGCACCATTTTAAAAGTCCCAAAGGTTATTTGTCCACATGTAGTAGAGTGTACAAGTAATAAAAAATCAGAAAAAACAGTAGTCTGATTTAAAAGAAAAAAACAAAAAACAAAAAAAGGTGCCGTGGAAGACCTTCCACTTAAATGTGGCGTCGTGAAATGTAAACGATTGAGCCTTCTTTGTGCTTTCTAGTGTAAGGAAGAAAAAAAAAAAAAGCCAGCGGAGCATTGAGTCAGTTTTTCCGTTCTCGTTCGGGCTGGACTGATTTATATCACGGGCGCCGTGAAGTCAAGCATCTGGAGCTCTGCTGAGGCAACGGGGAGAGCAAAGCGCGAGCCGCAGAGTCCTTGAAAAGCACTGGCAAACGACGCCCGCTTGATCTGTCGAAGCCCGCGCCTCGCCCGGTATCGCCGTAGCTCGAGTGGCTGCCCGCCCATCGAGTGTGAACCTGAACGGGCATGAAAATGTTCCGCTTTCTGCCTCTCCCTGAAAGTGTCGTCGTCCGCTGAGCCCTCTTGAGTTGCGTCCAATTGTCATGTCAACATTTGGCTCATTGGCTGTGCGTCAAAAGCAAAAAGTGACCGCCTCACCGTTTGGTACCCGGGGGACGGCTGTATGGATGAAAGGTACCGCCCTCTTGTCATTCAACTTTGACGGCAGATGCTAGCACAGACAAGCTAGCTGCTGGTTGCTTGGATGACGATTGTGTTGATGGAATTTGGGGCGACGTGAACCCGAGTAAAAATAATCTCCCTTCACGGCATTCAAAGCCAAGAATGATCTTGTCGCTTTGCGTGTGTTTGTGTGGTCACTTGGACCAGCCTGTGGCTCCGCAGCGTGTCCGAGTTTGGGTTAGGATCCCTTTGCGCACGCAGTCGTAGGGTCGGAAATGTTAGGTTTCGAAGTGTCCCGCCGATGGCGGATTTTGACGCTAACGTCTGGGGACCCCGAAAGAGAACCGCGTGGGGTGCCGCGCTCCCGTTTGTTGGGATGGAGAAGCGTTGGTCGGGCATTCTTGTGTCGGAGTGGAGCTCGGCTGCTCATTACCGCTTGCTTGTCCTCGGAGCCAGGTCAAGCATGCGCGCCCGGAGAGCCAGCCGGCCGGCCGGCCGGCCTCGCTTCGGCAAGGCTCCGTGCCCATCAGAAAGAGGAGGAGGAGGAAGAGGAATGTTAATCTCCTCCCCCACCATGACATTTCACGATTGCAGCTCCCCCGCCTCCTGTCAAACAAACGGTGCCGTCGAAAGAATCTACAAGGATTGTTCTCGAGAGTGTGTGTGTGTGTGTGTGTGTGTGTGTGTGTGTGTGTGTGTGTGAGCGTCAAACGGGCCGTCCGCTGCAACACCGCCGATTCTTCATCCAAAGTTCATCTTGGGTGACAAAATGAATCTCAAGATACTGTGCGCGCACACACGCACACAAAACAACAACAAGGGGGAAGAAAGCAAGCGGATGACAACTAGATTCGGACTCAAATTTGCGCTCATTTCTCCCGTGTCAAACTGGCGGCCTTGTGAAACACTGCCGACTGCTCGCAGAAGGCTCGCCTTGCGTGAAAACGGAATCTCAGGCTACCGTTAAGGGAAGGATAGCGCCGGAGGATTCTCGTTTAGATTCGGACTCAAATTTGCGCTCATTTCCCCCTGTGTCAAACTGGCGGTCTTGTGAAACACTGCCGACTGCTCGCAGAAGGCTCGCCTTGCGTGAAAACGGAATCTCAGGCTACCGTTAAGGGAAGGATAGCGCCGGAGGATTCTCGTCGGCTCAATAATGCAGCGCGACGTATTTGGCTCATTTGCCTGCCCATGCGCTCGGTGCCGTGATGTGCCGCTCATTTTGTCGAAAGCTCGCAAAGAATTCTCCGGGGGAGGCGCGGTCTTTGGTTTCGCACACGATTCTCTTCCGAAGGTCTTGTTCGCTCGTGCTACTTGCACCTCTGCCGGGGGAAACCTCTTGCAGGCTTTAAAGCGGGTGGTCCCCAAGGCGCTTGCGCTAAGTGGGTAAACATCGCTCGCGGCTTAACAAGGTGGCGACCGACCTCGCGGGAAACGCCGCCACCCCGGCCCCGGCGGCCAATGAATGACGCCGTTTGTCTCGCCGGTGTTTGCCCGCGACCGCGTACGTCCGCCGGCCGCTTGGGCTTCTTTTCGGTGGTCCTCCTTGTGGTGAAAGCTCCACTGTGTGATCGTCGCACCTTTGCCGCTTGGCTCACCTCTCTCCGACCTCGCCGACGGCTCCCGGATCCGCAGAAATGACTTAAAAAAAAAAAACCAACAACAACAAAAGAAGCCCCAATTGTACGCTGGGGAAACGGGCGGCTGGAAATCGGATTGAGCGGAGGTGGCTAAAATAGACGGACTCTGTTCTGAAGCAGAACTCCAAAACAAAGCCCCCCCCCGTAACTTCAACGGTCCCACATGACTTCTTGGTTCAGCGTTGTCTTTTTTTTTAATTGCGGAGTTTGGAAAATATAACAAGCATCGTTTGACAGAGTAAGAAGCAGCAAGTGCAGATGTCACTTTTCAAGCGAAAGGATTGAAACTCCAAAGTCGTCGCAAAAGGAAATGCGCAAATGCTCACGTGGTTACGTCCTTCGCAAGCGCGGGAGCGGGGCCACCCCCATGGATCGCTCCCCCGACCGTCTTGACGGGATGAACTCGCGTCGGTGCCGATTAGCGCAGGCGGCAGGGCCGCGAGTTTGGAGTTGGGGACTCGGTTAGTGTCGGCCGCTGCGCTTATTGGGGTGTTGTTGTCACTCAACTCGTAAGTGGACGTTTGGATGGCCCAATTGCTATACGCCGCTTCGTTTCCCCTCCGCGGGGAGCTCGGGAAGTGAGTCATCGGCGTCAAGGAAGTACGCTGACGTGATACTTTTCGAACGAGAGACGACTAAGATCTTTGTCTGGAAGAAGCTACGTTTAGCATGAGTTGTTTGCGGAAGTGCTTTGCTGTCTGTGGAAGTTTTTGCTGTGTGCTCAGTGGACGACGAGCCTTTTTTTTTTTCCAGCTAAGATGACTGAAATAAATACGGAAGGATTTTGCGCTCAGGGTTTTGAAGCGATTCGGTTCCCAACCCCCTCGCATACCGGTGGCGGTGTCTTGCCGGTGCCCTTCCAAGCTGTGCGACGGAGGACACTGAAGTCGCTGGCCTCATGCGCCCACGTGCCCTTAAAAGGGCAGAAAAAAAAGGTAAAGATGCTTAAAGGACGGACGGAAACCGCCGGCGACGGCTGGCCTCTCGCTTGTAAAAACGGGGATCTTTCCTTCTCGTCACACGCAGTCAACGCCGCTGCTTTCTGGATTTTACCACGGCTGTCCACGAGACATGATCTTCGTTTTTGTTTTTCAAAAATGTCATGGAAATTATTTTCAAGGCAAGGCAAGGCAAGGCGCTTTTATTTCTTTGGCACATTCCGTACACTAGGCAGCTCGATGCGCTTCACAACAAGCAAAGCCACAAAGTAAAGAAATAAAAGTTGGTTTTCGCTCTCCTCGAGAGACATCGGCCATTTTTTTTTTCACTCGGCTATCTGCACAGCGACCGGAAGCCAGCCGGGAGGAACGCAATAGTCGCTCGCATCCCGTGGCCGCCTTGTCATGTGCGCAAAGTACAATTACCAAGCGAGGACGAGGACAGGATGCGCGAGAGAGCCAGAGATGAGAACATCCCGATTAGGAAGTCTCGCTCCTCCGAACGTACCCCCCGCCCGCCCCCGCCCCTCGGAATGCTCCACGACGACTCGCTGTTTGTATAAACTGTGATAAAGCCGCTCCCCGTTTGCTCGCGAGGAATGCGGGAAAAACGGAGGAGCTGCCGTGCTGTCCTGAAAGTTTGAGCCATCGGTGCCAAAGCGGAAGCGGCCAGCTTCGCAGAGTTCTGGGTGAAATACGCCATGGCGCACAAGTAAGGTCGGCTTATCCTCGCGACGACGCCGACCTTACTTGTGCGACGACGCCGATGTCGCGCTTTTGCCGATTTTGCTGGGCTCGACAGAAAAGGCAGGCAAATTCATCCGTCGCTCTTCGGTCAAAACGATTCCCAGGAAAGCATTTGTCACCGTCAGGCTATGTAATTAAAAACAAAAACAAAAAGAGGTATGAAATGTGATGCCATTTTCATGCACCTCCGCCAATGTCACACCTGCACATGGGAACTCTCCCGCAGGAACGGCAGCATTCTCACTTTTGTTCCGTCCGCGCGCCGCGGCCCCTCTCGGGTTGACATGGCCGAGGCTGCCCGCTTTGGCGGGGGGCTGATGGTTGACCCACTGTGCGGTGTCCGGTGGCCCCGGCGAGTGTGGCGCGTTTTGGACTGCGGTCATCCATGGTCACCGCACGCTAAGGCGAGCGGCGCGCTCCTTCTTGGAGGCCGAAAGGTCTCTGGGATCGGAGTGACGCAGGCACGGTGAGCTATCTTGGCGACATAAAAAAAACCTCGGGCCACCCGGATCATCACGAGCCGCCGTGGTCCGCGTCGTCACTCGAACGCTTCAAAAAAAACCCGCTCGGCTCAAGAGGCCAAGCTCCGGATTCCTGTGTGTGCGCTCCAATCAATCTCTTTTTCTTCAATTTGCCATTGCGATTCTGTATGCTACGTCAGCTTCGCATCTCGATCATGCCTATCCTGTGTCACTTCTCTGTCTAAAGTGGAGCGAGTAGCTACCTTAGCCACACACCAACTCACGCCGCAGACCGAGCGACGTACATTACGCAATGTCTTTCCATACTTACTTGTCATGTCCTTGTTTATCGTAGTTGCTTGTTATTGATGATACCGGTGTAGCCTGTACTACCGGAGACAAATTCCTTGTGTGCTCGACATACTTGGCCGATAAAGATGATTCTGATTCCGATTCTGACTAAATTTATCTCGCTTTTTTTTCCCCCTCTCCTTGTGTGCAGCGGAACCGGCCAACCTCTTGAAGATTTTAGATTTTCCCAGTTTACCCGAAGGCGTCACGAAAACAACGGGCTTCTGCTCGAATCGGCGGTCGGCGCAAGGACCCGATGTGGCCTACCGAGTCTCCAAAGAGGCGCAGCTCAGCGCCCCCACCAAACAGCTGTACCCAGGTGAATTTAGCTAGGCTGTAATCCCGCGCAGGTGTCGCCGTCAATCCCGTTCTTACCGACAAGAGCGGCTGCGCGGCAGTAAAGCGGCCAGATGACGGGCAAACGTAGCGGGGGAGCAATTTCCTTTTTTCCTTTCTTGCCCTCCGGGTGGCACTTTTATAGCCTCCCGGAACTTGATTATTTATGTTAGCCTGCTAGCATGAACTTGGAATGCGGCTGTCGTAAGCATCTTGAAAATTTCTACTTTTTTGTTGTTGTTTTGTTTCATAATATGCACACACAAAAGCTAATAACTGTGCAGTTGAAAGAGTTCCAAAAAAATGAAGGTGGCTGACTAGTTGCAGAGCATGTCCCCATGCAGGGCCGGAGTCTGCTCGCCCCCGGCCAAGCACGAGGGGCTCCTGTGACTTTTTTTTTTTCTTTTTTTCAAACCCAAACTGTTGTCTTTGGGACTTCTTTGAAAGGAGCCATGTTCACGGTTAACATACTGTAGCTTGAGTTACACTGAGAGTCTAGCCAGTGACATCACTCCATCCCATTCGTTTTTCCATCCCAGCTAAGACTTTTTAAACGATGAAGCTCAGCTTTCTGCCACCTAATGCTCATAAAAAAAAAAGAAAAAAAATGCCCATAAGTGAAGACGAAAGAGATGGCAAATGATGTTGGACTATGCGGCGAGCTCCTGTGGCGGCGTTGCGGAAAAGAGCGCGTGCAGACATGCGGTCATCAAATGCACGGAAAGGATGATTCGCCAGCAACACAAGTCTGTTTTTTTTTACCGACACGACTCAAAAAGGGCACGCTAATTTGAGTCGACGCTTCCCACGCTGAGGCTATGGGCAAATTAGCGCCTCAGGCTACAGAAGCTAACGCCGCCAGAGTTCCTGTCGTCAGGAGCTTAAGTTTTTTTGTTTTTGTTTTTTTTTCCGTGGAAATGGGGGGGGGGGGACTTGATTGGCCGGCTTTCTGGGGGCCATAAAATCTTTCAGAGCGCTCCTGTTTGACTAATTGGGACCAACCAGCATGGAATTGAGAGTGGAATCTCAGCGGCTGTTTGTGATTTCAATGCCAGGTTCCGTCAAGATAAAATACTGGAGGGAAAAAAAAATAATAGTCACGCATCTCCAGATGCTTCGTCTTGGGAATACCCGTATCTGCTTATTTGTATCTGTTGATGTATTATTTGATAGTTGGTCTTTTTGTCTTAACATAAAACGTGTTTTTTTTTTTTTTTAAATGGCCCCTCACATAAACAAAAAAAAAAATCCTAAACTCACATTATTTTGACTTCTCAAAGAGCGGTTTGGAAGATAGCTGATGAGACCGTGGAAGTTTTCCAAGCGATTGTGCCGCCAGCTTCTCCAGATGATTGTTTCCTCATGCGGCTCCATGCTGGATGATCCCGTTCTTCGCTCTACTTCAGTCCTCTTGCGTCTTTGCGTTCTGTCCTTTTGCTGGAGCCAAAGATATACGGGTTGGCCGACCCGGGTCCTGAACTCTTTGCTTCCCTCCGCCAGGCGATGCGTTCCCCGAGGACTTTTCCATCCTGGCCACCGTGAAGCCCAAAAAGGGCAGCCAGTCGTTCCTGATGTCCGTGTACAACGAGCAGGGAATCCAGCAACTGGGTCTGGAAATGGGGCGCTCGCCCGTCTTCCTCTACGAGGACCACACGGGAAAGCCCGGCCCGGAGGACTACCCGCTCTTCCGGGGGATCAACCTGGCCGACGGAAAGTAGGTGCACCGCGCAGAGGTTAGGGTCGGGGCTTTCGGCGGCAGCGCGCTTCCATCCTTCCTCTCCTTCTCCAGGTGGCATCGAGTGGCCATCAGCGTGCACAAGCAGACCATCACCCTCATTCTGGACTGTAAAAAGAAGACCACCCAGAAGCTGCTGCGATCGGCCCACCCCGTTATCGACACCAAAGGAATTATCGTGTTCGGAACCAGAATACTTGATGAGGAAGTCTTTGAGGTCAGCCCTGTTTGAGTTCTCTCTCTTCTTTGTTGTTGTTGTTGTTGCGGGGAACCCGCAAAGAACATTTGAGGTGCCGTCATGAGGTTTGTGTGGCGACGGCGGGCATTTCCTCTGCAGACGTGTCGGCGACCGCGCTCGCCCGCTAACCGCAATGCGAAGGCCTCGTCTCAAGGGGACTGTCGCCCAACAGTCGCATGAGGCTTTGGAAAGTCCAGAATTCGGTAGCCGGTGACAGAAGTGATCGGGCGAGCGCGTCGTTTTGTCGTCGCCTTTCCATGAGGACTCCGTGTCCGCAGAGGCCGCTAAACGACTGCCGATGAAGTGAAAGCGGCTCGTGAGGATGTCACCCGGCCGCTGGTCCGCGGCAAGACTGATGATGTTCATTTGGCAAGCGATGGGCCCCCCGCGGACGGGGCATTCTTGGCTGCTTGGGGGAGGAGCCTCTTCTGATGTCGCAACGGCACAGCGCTCGGAGTTGCATTTGCATGCGTGACAAATGCCGCGTCAGTCCAATTTGATAGCTTGAGGTGACGTCGCCACCGGAGGAGCAGAAATCGATGGGACGCCGAGCAGCCCCCGTCTATATCGGTTTGAAATCGACGCCATTCCAAGTGACTTTCAAAGCTTCCGTGGACCCCGGTGGACTCACCGGTCGGTACAGCTGACTCGTATCAAGCGGTGGCAACTCCGAGTCTTCATCGGGCCTAATTACCCAGGAAGGCCCAAAGTGGCTTTTTGCAGTTGTTTTCTTGAGAGTGACGCCATCGCCAAAGCATTCCGAATCCCCCGCCGGGCTATCGGCAGCCCGACTCCCGGCTGTTACCGTGGGAAGGGCTGATGTGGGTTTTTTGGGTTTTTTTTCTGGGCTTGAAAAGCCTCCTCCCGCTACTGCCAGTTTGCAGGCGGGGCAGACAAGACTGCGGGGAAAAAAAAAATGGAAAACTACACGGCATATTTTCCAAACTGTTCTCCCCTTGCCCCCTTCACCCCGCCGCCGTTTAGTCTGATCTCGTTTTTTTTTCCCCCCCTGTCGGACTACTTAGCAAGCGTGCTGGATTTCACGCAGTCAAGTCAGAATCATCACGCGTAGAAACAAGTCGAACCCTCCCAACTAAAGTCTTTCGGTTCTCCAAAATATCAATATAACGTCTAGCTTGAAAATAGAAACTAACAAAAAAAAAAAAAAACATAACCTTGACAAAAACAAAGACATCATTTGTCTTGAGTAAAATGGCACGAGATTAAAGTCAGATTTTGTCACGGAGAAAAAGTCGCCATCTTTAGCGGAACAGACGTATATTGGGGGTGTGTCAAAAGGCGCCCCCCCACCCAAAAAAAAACCGATACGACAAATGCATCACAAACGATTGAGCGGGCAATCGCAGCAGTGTTTTTCTTGCCGAAATCTTTGCTGTGTCAGCATGTTTTGCGCATAAATCTCCAGGCGCTGAGTGTCAACATGTGTGCGGGCCCAGCCGTGGTCAGGCAGTGGTGAAACGGTGCCACTTAGCCCGAAAGCCTCAAGCCCTTCGGCTCGCGGTTTGGTTTCTCCAGTAGATGTCGCGGTCAGCGGGACAAAGGTCCATACCGAAAGAAGTCGCGTCTCGGCGGCTTGTCTTGGTTCCGCCGCCCGCGCCCTTCAAAAGACGCAGCCGCGATGAGTACGCGCCGCACCGAGGAGGCGTTGTCGGAAGCCTGCTACAAAGCGCTCCCTTGGCTGTCGGGGCGCTCGCGCGGCCGCTCGCAAATGCACTCGCAGCCCTCGGCCCGAACCTCGGAAAGCGAAGCGCTGCGGCCGTCGGTCGCGGCCAACCGCGGAAAATGTGATGAGCTTGCAGCGGAGGTCAGTCTCGGAGCGGTCGCCGCATGGCCGGCCCGTCTCGTTTGCTCTCAGCGACTGCGCCGCGCGGTTCAGGTGAGGGCGCTTCAGGTTGAATGCTTTGAATCATCACATGTACGCCCGCAACGTAGCATGTCGCACACACGCTTCCCACGTGTAGATTTGGCCGCCATCTCATTCATCTCATCTCAGCTCCTTTCCGCAAGAGGCCTCGCTCATTTCGAGAGCGGTAGGAACGGAAAGCGAGCCTCACGTTCGGCTGCCGATGGCCCCGCTCAAAACGCGCTCTTTGTCCTTCGACGCGTCATCCGTGCGTCACACTTTTCCAGACTTTTGGCTTGGGGGAAGGGAATATTCGCTCCGCTAATTAAGACAAGTTCCCTAACGCAACTCAGATGTTTGCGCTCTTTGAGTCGTCCGGTGAAGTTCTCCTCCATCTCAGCACTTTTTCGGGGAAAATCCAACACGCAACCGCCGTCTGCTATCGGAGGCAAGACGAGCTGCTTTCCTTCCCCCTTTCCTCCCCCCCCCCCAAAAAAAAAAAAAAGAAAAAAAGAACAGGAAATAGCAAGATGGTCCAGAGAGATGGCGGATTAAGGGGCGGAAAGAGGGCGGGGAAGGGGGGCGGGGGGTTACCAAGGTGGCCAAAGTGCTCACACTCGTCGTTTTTATTTAAATAGCACCAATTCGTGAACGAAGGTTTTCTCCAAAAAATGGACTTACTGAAGCAAAAGTCAAAAGTATGGACACTAAATTATACTTCAATACAAGCACAGAATCAAGTCCAAATCAAGGCAAAAAGTTATTTCAAGGCATGAGAGAACAATGAACCCACAACAGCTGAAACTGCGGGACTTCAATTCAAGTAAAGAAGCGCAAACTCTGAAAAGTACGGCCGCACTAAAGTGAAAGATGCAGACAAATCAATCTGTTTTTTGGGTTTTGGGAGTGTTTTCCATTTTTCACGTCGTGATGTCCTGAAAATTGAGCGTTGCCCTCGGCATCTGCTTGGTCGGAGGGCCGGAAAATGTGCCAAAACGCCAAAAGTGTGCACTGGACGCTGATCTCCAGCTAATGAGCTGAGCTGCCGTCTGCGCCGCGCTCAACTTTACCAACTGGCCCACCGCCAAGACGTGTCGATTTCCTGTTTATGTACCGTAAGCCAGGGGCTTGGACCTCCCAGGGACCCGCTCCAGGTGTGTGTGTGTGCGCGTGTGTGTGTCATGTGGAGCCCCATTTGTGCTAAAGAGTTCACTGAATCAAGCTGCTTGGTGAGGCGGAACAAGGAAACCCTCGCCGGCTTTTCCGGTCTGGCGTCCCCTAATGGTCGTACTGCCGTGAAGATAAAGCTTTGGCGTTGGCTTAGCAGAGGAACTTGCCAAGATGGACTCCAATGACTTGTACTCATTCGGCAACAGAGACTCGCCACGCTTGGCTTCTTCGTCGCAAACAGAGGCACCTCGTCCCTGACATCCTCGCCCGGGACCTGCCGGCGGGCTACGGGCCACGCTTGTGTTTGTACGGGCCCGCGGCGGCCGCGATGGCCACACTTGGTTGCGCGGCTTTTCGCAAGAAATGGCAAATCATGGGAGCGCAAACCGGAGGCCTCGAATCCAGAGGACTCGGTCCAGCCTGAATAGTTTTGCTCGGGTTCGGGCGGGGAGACAGATGTTTGGCTGCTCCTTCGGGGGAGCTCGCTCCCGCCCGACCGGACACCAGCGCAACCGTACCGATTCCAACCAAGATTAGTTTTACTTAAGGTTTGATTGTAATGACCCAACCCTGGCCGCCCCCTCACTTTTTGCGCATCTATCACGATATACGTGACATGATTTGATCGATCGCGCTCTCGCCACGAGGAAACATGTGTAATTAGATTGCACTTACTTGACGCAGAAATGTCGTATTAGCGTAGCGCCAGCTCACGGCGCGGCACATCTGCGCAACAGCTGCCTTCGTTGCGCTAAAAAGAGCCGCTCCAGCCACAAGACAGGCAATGAGAAGAGAAGCCTCCGCGTCGTGTTCCATTGTCAAAGAATGCTCCACAAGTTCACTTAACTGCGATCAGAATCGACACGTGCACAATGAGCAAAGTCAGAGCCACTTTCACTAAGCAAAGTCTTGTCTCCACAAGCCCTTCCCGAAAAGACACTGAAATTGTTGCATGAAGCCGACATTTTGCCTCGGTAGCACGCTAAAAATGCATTTCGTCTTTTTTTTTTTCCCAATTGGGCCCCCGACGCCAGTGTCGCAACATGACATTTGGAAGGCATGTGGCTCCTAAGCAGGGCCCCACCCCCCCCCCCCCCCCTCCCCAACACCCCCGTCTGAAAACAGACGGGACGTCGGCCATCTTGGCATGAAGCGGCCCATTTGGTTCGCTCGCCTTCCTTTCCCGAGAGCAACCGCTTTCACTCAGTCACATGAAATTTGGTTGAAATGTTGATGATGAGTAGACAGCCCCCCCCCCCAGTTCATAGAAGCTTGGAAAAAAGAAGGAGCCCACCAATGTTTCCAATCTAGCGTATTTAACCGTAGACTTCAGATTCCGATCGACGGTTAAGTTGCGTCAAGCGTTTTATGTCGTCGTTTAAAGTCTTCGAGTCAAAGAACGTGTGTGTGTGTGTGTGTGTGTGGGGGGGGGGGGGTTACGTTCCCCGTGTTTACATGTTTGAAGAAATGTTGATCTTTCTGCTCTTCTGGCAGATCACTGCCTCAATTCAGTGGCATAGTCCTGATTTCAGTGCTTGTCTTTCTTGTTTTCTTTTGGAGTCCAGTTTTTGCTGCGTTCGGCTGGCACGACTTGGGACCAGGGCCTCATCAAAACCGCCCGCGGTTGTGCCTCGTTATTGCTATTTTTTTTTTTCGCCAAGTTGATTCCGTATTGGAATGATGTGTGATGACATCACTGCATTTGGAGGTGCGATGAGAACATGTTTGGACAGAAGCGATAGAGTGTGTGCCTTGACGCTCCCAAACTTGGAGCAGACACACACACACAGACCCAGCTCCCCGTGTAGCCCTGGGATCCGGCGGAGCCCTCGCCTTTTTTTCCCTCGCACTCGCCTTCCCATCAATCTCAGCCAGTTGTCAGCCTTTTTTTTCTCGCTTCAATAAGCGTTTTGCCGCCCAGTGGGCAGCCCACCCCTCCGCCGAGCCCTCCGTGCTGCCGTGCCGTGTCATCTGTTGGATGTCCGGCTTACAACGCGACGTGCGATCCTTCCACCGCTCCACCGTCGCTTTTAAGGGCGCAAGTCTGAGGCCTCTGACGCCCACGTCAGAGCCCGACCTCGGTCGGGTGCAGATTGTTCCGCTTTGTCCTTATTTGTTGATGTTGCTTGCAACGCCCCCCCCCCCCCCCGCCTCCCCTCCTTGTTTGTTGAAATGCATAACTTGGTCGTCTGGCTCACTTCCCGTTTCTGGCTGTTTCCAGGGAGACATCCAGCAGCTAATGATTGTAGCAGACCACCGGGCCGCCTATGACTACTGCGAGCACTACAGCCCCGACTGCGAGGTGGCCGTCCCCGACCAGCCGCAGAACCAGGACCCCAACACTGACGACTACGTGAGTTGTCCCGATTTCTAATGCGCCATCTGGTTTCCCCATCGCCGGCGACTGTGGCGAAGATCAAGTCGCGGTCGAGGCCCCCCTCCGTTTCAAGGATGTCAAAGTATGGCTGGAGTTCAGCGAGTCGGGATGACTCCAGAATGACTTGCATTTGTGACTCGTCCAGTTGATGCCAGAAAAGAACACACCCACCTAAAACACAAACAAGAGGCACAACGCGAGAGCGTTCCCCTACTTTTCGCCCCGCAAAAGATCTCCAAGTACCTCTACATGTCAAAAGATGTCAGCAAAGCACTACACGGAGCTCCTCGTCTCGCTTCAACATAGTTCCTTGCCACAAAGATGCCGCCAAAGCAACCGTTTAGATTAGACAAGGCTTTGGCCCGAGCACAAAAACATTACCGAGAAGGCTCATAATTATAGATGTAGGTTGGGCAATGATGATGAATGGTGGCTGTCCAAAGCTGAATTCAGTCTGTACCACTCATCAACCTTGCGAGGTGTTCAAGGGAGAACATGAACTCAACCTGTGAGCGTTGACTCCGAAAAAGCAACGGAAAAGTCATTCTTCATTCGTGGGGCGGTAACAAGTTGGAAGGGAGTGGAGGAAATTTAGTCGAGGTTTGTACAAGTCCAATGCATTCCTGTGTCTTGATTAATGACATGCCTATAGCATAAATCCTTAAGACTCCACAAGGGACTGCCCATATGAATAGTTTAGACCGCACAGTATCACCCCAAAAGCCTTTAGCACAATTTCAAACCTACCTTAAAGATGATCTCATTTCAGGAAATGCTTCAAGCTCCTTCATAGAGTAAGCGCAGAAACCGTGATCAAGTGTGTGTGGGGGGTGGGGGGTTCGAGGCACTTCTTTGACACTAATTGTGACTTTAAGAGGGCTTTGGTGCCATCTTGTGGCATTTTAGCGCATCGAACCACAAGGCCAGCTTTCGGATCGGAGCGCTTCGCGGCGGCTCAGCTCTCATTGACGCATGTTGGTTCTCCAGAACACAGAGGAGGACAGCTATTATTACGAGTACCCCTACTACGAGGACATGGATGGAAAACCTCAGGAGTCAACTTCTGATGCCGACGAGACAGCGAAGCAAGTCAAGGTAATCCATCGGTAAACGGGTGGACGAAATACGCCGCGCCGTTACAATGCCGCGCTGCATTACAGGTGACGGACGGAGGCAGCTCGGCGTCCAAAGTGGAGGAAGTGGCGCGAAACGCCGGCGCGGCCGGAAAAGTAGTCACCTCTTCGTCTTCCGGCACGGGTTCGTCATCCAGCAGCTCTTCGGCGAGCGCCGCGGACCTCGGCGCCTATGACGGTTACGACAACTACGAGACCTACTACGACGAGTCGACGCCGGCGCCCGAGGACGACAGCTCCCGGCGCCTCACCATCACGGGCACCGGCGGGCAACTGGACCTGTTAACGGAGGGAAAGACTGACCTGGGCGCGGGAAGTGCGGTGGAAACCAGGGTTGTCAGTGGCGGTGCCGGCGGTGGATCCTCAATCACCCTTAATAAAACCACAGTAAGTGAAGCACTTAGACGCGGACACCGGTAGTTCTCGGCTCACGAACTTTGGGTTTCCTAGCTCGGAACTTCCTACGGCGACTACAGCGACTACGGCGATGGGGATTATGGCGTGGACAGCCACGTGACCGCTGGCGGAGGCGGCGGCAGGTAAGGGACGCCGATCACATGACATCCCTGAAATCGACTTTGACTCGTTATTCATGACACTCGACTTGAACTGCGCGACTTGACAAGGCGGAACTGAGTGCAAAGTGGCGAAGGTGCGAACATAAATTGTTACCGAGCGAGTTGTATGACTTGGCTTATGACTGGCCGAAGTCAATTAATAACTCATTGTGGGGACGCGACTCGCTTGATTTTTGTCACGGTGGCCCAAGACTTGGACACGTGACCTACTCTCACCTCTAACAATCCCAGCCGTACAGTTCACATCGGCGGTGGCGGTGGCAGCAGTGGCAGCACCATCAACCTCGGCGGTGGCAGCAGCGCCGTGGACCTCGGCCTCGGCACCATCGACCTCGGTGGCGGAAGTAGCAGCACCATCAGGCTGGGCGGCGGAAGCAGCAGCAGCGGCAGCAGCAGCAGCGGCAGCAGCAGCAGCGGCGGCGGCGGAGCCGGGCTGGGCGGCGGAAGCGCCCATATCGACCTCGGTCTTGGAGGAGGGAGCAGCGCCGGCACCATCACCCTGAGCGGGGGCGCAGGAGGCGGCGGCTCCACCGTCACCCGAGGGGGCGGCGGAAGCGGCTCCGCCGTCACCCTTGGCGGCGGTTCCGTTTCGGTCGGAGGTGGTTCGGTGTCGGCCGGAGGCTCTTCCACGGTCGGCGGCGGGTCGGCCGGAGCCGGAGCCGGCGCTTCCATCGCCACCGGAACCGGCCTGGGCATTGAGGGAGAGGGGGACTACACAGACCTGGACACCTTCAAAGAGGAACACATCAGTAACTACGACGATTTGGATCTGAATATATACGATGACAACTACGACGACCTGGATTATCCTGACAAAGGGTCCAAAGTGCTTCCCGCCGAGACCAACGAGTATTACGGACAGGTGAGGGAAGACGGGGTGCGGCGGCAAAGGGGCAGTGTGGAAGAGAGGTGAAAAAGAGGACGGGTGGGATGGAGGGGGTGGAGTCAAGCGTAAGAGAAGAGCATTAGCAAAACGCAAAGGTTTCAGGAACCCTTGCGTGATGAAGCTAGTCGCAGACAATGCTCGGCGAACAGAAAGCAAGTAGCGGAGGACCAAGTTAGTCGAGGACACACTTGGACCAAGCTAGTGAAGGACCAGTGTGGTCGTGTGCAATTTTTTGTTGTTGCTGTTTTAGAATCGCGCAGGAAGAGGGTGATGAGCTTTGAGCCCACAGGGAAAGAAAAAGGAGGAGGAAGACCAGAAAGTAATGAAACAAATGGCCATGTTGCAGGTCGATGGCGTCCGCGGCGAGAAAGGACAGAAGGGCGAACCTGCTATCATCGAGCCCGTGAGTATCGCCAGCCAAAGGTGGGGGACTCCAATCACATCCATCGACTCGAGTCAGACGAAACAATTTGACCCGAAGTGCCCGACCGAACAAGACTTAGCGGTCGATATTTGAAAATGTGCATTTTCGAGACTTTAAATTGTGAAGACCAGACACTGGAGGTGACCGACTTGCCATGACGAGACATAACGGGACTCGGGACTTTCTGGAAATTTCAAGCCTCGAGATTGACCGAGGACCGATGTCCCTCTCCATACTGCCTCAAGTCGCTTCACTCTCGGGGGCAGCCGATCGATCACAACCGGACTGCGGTGCTGGTTGCCACGAGGCTTCACCAACTCAAAGCCGACCAGAACGGTCCCGTTGCCATCGATTCGCGAGGCGCCAATGCGACCCAACTGGCGCCTCTGTCCGCACGCACGTATGGACCTTTGCATCTGCCGTTTGTCCGCCCTCATCCGGACGCAAAGCGTGGGAGGGTCCGCGGCCATCCGGACCACAATGTAAACATTTGGAGAAGAGCCATGTGGGGCTCGTCACTCGCGCGTAAACACGGAGCGGGCTGCGACTAAACACTGGGAAGGCGCATTGGCGAATTCCCCGGAACCCAAGCCGCTCCACTCCCAAAACAAACGTCAACGAGTGTACACTGCGGCGTGACGGAGCGTCTTCCTATTGACGTGTTTCGCTTCTTTGCCCTGCGGACAATAGACAGATGTCGTGGGTTTTTCCCACTTGCGCAGGCAAACGTGGGACTTTTCCTCCGCCACCACGCTGACAAGTCATTCCGTGAGGTAAACATCGGGAGGGCCGGTGGCCAGCCGGCCCCGGGAACCCGCCGGGGTCGCGGAACGGCGTCCCATCGGGAGACACTTGATTTAGAGTAGCCACAGAGGCTTTTTCTTTGGTGGAGGCGTGCCAAGAACAGCGCTCCAAAACATTTTATTCCACGTACCCCCCCCCACCCTGTTACGTCCCGAAAGGGTTGGCACGCCAGCGCTTCTCGTCGTGGCTGTGTAAGTCTTTTTGCCACGTTCTCTTTTCAACATCCTGATGCACATTGTAACCCGTTCAACCGCCCCAAAAACCATCTTCAGGGACTTGGCGCACCCCTCAAACACCGCGATCGTCCACAACCCGGATTTTTCGAGCAGACATTTTCCGACAACATCCCATAAGAGTTGCGGCACCCCTTTAAAGCCCCGCACCATTTTGACGTCCCATGAAGGGGTGGTGCGCCCATCTCCAGCTCGCACCAGATTCCCTGAGAGATGCATTGCGGTCTTCTGCCCAAACTGTTTCAGCTTCGCACCCCTTTCAGTATAATTTACGGGAGTCGGCACGTGCTCCTCTGCCCGGCGCGCGCACACACTTCCAGAAAACCATCACAAAGTCAATGTATATCATCAGGATCTGACCACAAAGTCATTACCCTTAATTTTGCACACCCTTCCTTGAGGGCGCCCTCGGTCGACATTTCTTGTTTGAATACACCCAAAGCGCATCCTTGGAATCAACCTGACGTGCTTGCCTTTGCATGCAGGTACACGTTGCGTCTCAAATGATTCCTCTGTGACGGTGCGCGACACGGCGCACCGTGCTTTTGCGCTGCACCGCAGGGCTTTTTTTTCTTTTTCCAGATTTCAGATTAATCACCGGCTCAGGTGACGGAATGACAGGCAGGAATGCGCGTTAAGGCCTGACCTTGCCTTTTTCATTCATTTTTCAAAACTCGCACCCCCTCACGTTCATGTGCTTTGTGCCTTGCAGGGAATGCTGGTGGAGGGTCCGCCTGGGCCTGAGGGGCCAGCGGTAAGTCAAGCCACCTGAACGTTGTCCTTCGCATGTGCTGTTCCTCCCGATTGTTGGCGCGGGTTCCCATCTCTCTCCGGTCCGGCCTGTTTATGTTAGCGCTCTGCACAGAAAACATGCCTCGATTTCCCCCGTTCAGAAAGGGAGCGGTCGCTTTCCCAGATGAGATACGGACTTGCCCAGATGTCCATTATGAATCCACCCCCCCTTAAAGAGACAGTCTCATTCAAGCCACAGACATTCACAGAGCGCCCCCTAATGGAAGCCCTGTCTTCCTTTTCCGGCCCACACGTGTGACCACTTTTCAAATGAAGAAAAAAAAAAAAAGAAACAATGATGAGATACATGTGAGAGTTCAATGTCATCTTTTTGTGCTTGTAAATCAGGGTCTTCCCGGCCCTCCGGGTGCCCCCGGCTCACCGGGCATTGCTGGAGATACCGGCGACAGGGTGAGTACGCTGCAAAAACACGTGCGACCTCATTAAGATTTGAAGGCAAGAAACACTATCTATCCATCCATCCATCCATCCATCCATCCAGCACTGTAAAAACTGGAATGAAGAAACAAGAAACCTGGCAATGACGAGTAATATTTCTATCTATCGAGCTTGCTAGCCAGCTAGCTATCCACACTGCATCAGCTCGCCTTACAAAAGCCGAAGCAATGGCATGAGGGATATTTGTCTTAGTTGCAGCTGACTTATCAACCAATTGAAGGGCGATCATTGGATCTATCTTGGCAGAAAAAGAACATCTGGCTTTCTATACTGCCAAAACCGGTCTAAAAAAAAAAAACAAAACAAGAAAACAAAGCAACTTGTGGCTTGTGGAATAAATTACTTGCTTGATCCAAAATTATTTGCCAATCGGAGAGAAACTGACGTGGCAAGATTCCTGAAAACATGAGCATAATTTGGTTTGATGTTGAGATCCAATCTTGATTCCATTTGAGTTCCTTCCAGAGTTTTGCGGTGTTTTATTCAAGAAATATGAATCCCCCCCCCCCCCCCCCCACCCCCCCTTCTTTCAAAAGCATGTGCAGGCGTGAGTTGATACTGATTGTTTGCTCACCTATCAGGGTCTTCCGGGTCGTCCTGGTCTTCCTGGTGCCGATGGTCTACCGGGACCCCCAGGCACTGTCCTGATGCTGCCTGTAAGTAAACCACAAGACAGTGTGATGATAAATGAGTCTATACGAGATTTCAGCTGCGACTGAGTCCTTTAAGCTTCCAGTTGGATGTTCCATACGTCCTCTGTTTTGAACGCTGTTGAAAAAAAAAACCCCAAGCTGTGCTTTGGCACCCTCTTGTGGCACCTGTTGCAACAACATCACCCCAGGCTCCAATTCCAAATGTGAAATTGATGGTGAATAGAAGACAACGTGTCTGGAACTTGAGGTTTGCTCGTAAATATTCATGTCACCAGACATCTCTTCTCCGTACAAAATATATAACAGCCTTTGGTCAAAAATGACCCGAAAGCATACAAAAGCGTAAAATGGGCTGGGGGGGGAAATCAGAGCAATTCTTCATGTGTATGAATATTGACCTATTTTTTCTCTCCATAGTCGAGTAAACATCAAATAATAAATCAGTCATCCATTGAGATTTGTAAAATACCAAAGCGGGTCAAATTGTGACCGAGAAAGTTTCCCCCGGTCTCCTTGCCCGTCGCTGTCTCTGATGAGTTTCCCAGATTCGAACTCGCGTTTTTGTTTTTTTGCAAACGGCGCCTGGACAGGAAGTCTGTCGTACTGTTAGAAGAATGAGTCCCAGAAAAAAAGAAAACACATGCGAGCACATTGCGTTCATGTGCATTTGTGATTTGGAGAATGGAACACATGAATGACGCAGGTGAAGGCGGCCGTTTTCCGACCGGGCCCAGCGGCAAACCAAAGCCCCGCCGACTGCCGACCAAGTCGGCCGCGCGCACCTTCCTCAACATGTACGACGGCACGCCGCCTCCCGACGTCCCTGTTTTACCGGGGCGGGCAAACTCCAACGCTAAACCGCGGGCGTCATCTTCAACTCCGGCTCGCCGACGGGGCGAGTCGCGGCGCGGCCTCGCATCTGCCAAATTCATCGTCAAGTAAGGGGTGCCAAAACGAAGCACTCGGAACGTTTCTAACTCGAGTCATTGCGGCGGCCACATAGCATTGCATTGGAATAAACGGAATCATCTTGAGCCAGTTGGAAACAAGTGAGCTTGAAAAGCCCAATCTGGGGGGGTCTTCTCAAATTCACATTTCATGTAACTGATTCCGAGTTGAATGCATATTTAATTTTGATGTGACTCAACACAACGCGGCGTCATCATTCAGGACGAGCAGTTGGCAAGATTGGAATCTTCTCCCCCGTGGTGCAATATTGCATCGTGGCCACCAGGTGGCAGGCGGAGCATTTGTGGAAACTGCCACTGTGAGCCAAAAATTAGTTTGGCCCGCGAGCAGGCCGACTTGGCGGCCAGACACTCAAGACTGGTCGCCGGCCCATCTCGGGCCACATAAATTCCGAAGCATTCCGAGTTGCATTCACTCTGATTTGTGAACTCCAGGCATGAACAAAGTTTCAGAATTGAACCGAAAATGACTTTTGGCAACTCAAGTGAGAGACGCCCCTTGACCGGTCGCGAGTTAATCTCGGACGGCACCGAGACCAATTACACATCCGTGTTTACATTCACGCCATTGGACAATTTACAGTCAGCAGTCAACCGACAGGGAGTTTGGGCGAGAGGGGCCGGCCTCCGCCCACCCTGGATGGGTCGCATCCACACCTGGGGGGACAATTTAGCGTCTCCGATGAACCTCACCTACTTGCGCCCGTTTGGAGTATGTGAAAAGTGTCATTGAGTGATTGGCTCACCGTTGCGGGCCAACGTATGAACAAACGTGTGCCTTTGGGGAATGTGGGAGAACGCCATCTGGAGTAGCCGCACCCCGACTCGAAACTCGTCAGGCAGACAGGGCGACGGTGACGCCGTGCTGCTCGTGGCTTCGCTGCCATATTGCCTCAACGTATCTCTTCTCTCCTCCTCGTAGTTCCGATTCAGCGCCGGAGGAGGGGACGCCGGGCAGAAGGGGCCTGCCATGTCGGCTCAGGAAGCCCAGATGCAGGCCATCATGCAACAGGCTCGGGTGAGCTAGCGCGCGCGCACACGCACACACGCACACACACACACACCACTTCACGTCTTCAACGGCACGCGCGCGTGTTGCTCTTGGAATGATGCTTTTGGTTCTCCCGTGTGCAGCTGGCCATGCGCGGTTCCACCGGCCCCATGGGTTTGACCGGAAGGCCCGGCCCGCTGGTGCGTAGCAGAAAGGAAATCGCCCGAGGTCAACGTGACAGATGAGCTGAGGTTGATGCGGCCTATCTGGGTTGTCGTTTCAGGGTCCTCCTGGTATTGCGGGACTGAAGGGAGAGTCCGGGGAGGCCGGTCCTCAGGTAAACACTTCGGGGACTTGATTCCTTTTATTATGACTCCAAATGACGACATTTTGACTTTGTGCCCTGTGCACACTGTGTAGATACGTATACACACACACACACACACACACACATATCTATGTATTACTATACAGTATACACTATAATTTTAATATATCAAAATGTATCCATTTATATCCATTTCTATATAAAATTATTTGAAGACATTTTTACTTCACATATATTCAACTGAATTAAATACTAAAAATCTTTCATTCTAATGTTTTCATTCTATTCTATTCACATATTTTTATTTGAATACCTTCTTTCTTTATTTCGTACATATATTTATATTTTTTGTTTTATATCTTTTATTTTTTTTACAATAGTAGTTTTTTTTATTCTATTTTACAGAATGTTTATTTTAATTTCAATGCCTTTTTCATTTTTATTGTATTTTTGGGTATATTTTTATAGCATAGCTTTCTTTTCTTATTTTTCTTATTTTATAAGTCTGTGTATTTTTGATGACCCTCTCGTATTTTCACTACTCTGGATTTATTTTTATTTTATTTCATGTTGAGAATTTGGGAGATGTCATACGCCATAAAAATGATGTCCCATTTTTAAAGTCATAATTTAGGAGCGTAAATTGCATTTTTTTATTGATGTATTTTTTGGGCGATTGTTTTACTGTGCGCGCGCGAGTATTGTTCATCGTATTACATCATGTCATCTTCTTTTAACCGAAAATGACTTTTGGCAACTCAAGTGAGAGACGCCCCTTGACCGGTCGCGAGTTAATCTCGGACGGCACCGAGACCAATTACACATCCGTGTTTACATTCACGCCATTGGACAATTTACAGTCAGCAGTCAACCGACAGGGAGTTTGGGCGAGAGGGGCCGGCCTCCGCCCACCCTGGATGGGTCGCATCCACACCTGGGGGGACAATTTAGCGTCTCCGATGAACCTCACCTACTTGCGCCCGTTTGGAGCATG